TGCCTATAATTCAAATAAAAGACTAAGATGCATGTGTTTTGTTTTCGTACCACCGTAATAACCTGCAGCCGAGAGGCGGGCCGGCCGGCCGGCAAGGGGCGCGCGCGCGCCGCTCTCTTCCCCGCAGCGCCCAGTGCGGGAATGTGCGCAAAGGAGAAGGAAGTAGCAGCCGCTGCCGCCGCCGCCGCCGCGCCGGAGCTGTCAGCGCGCTCCCTGCCGCTCTTGCCGCCGCGGAGCAGGAGAAGGAGGAGGGCCGGCCCCAGGCGCCCCCTGCCAGCCCGAGCCGCGCGGCAGCCGGAGGAGAAGAAGGCTCGCCCTCCTGCCGGGGCTGCTCTTTGCATGGAGCTGGCCCCCGCCGGATAGAGAGGGAGCCTGCCAGCCCGAGCCGCGCGCCCCGGAGGGAGCCGGCAGCCGGGAAGGCAGAGCAGGCCGGGCGGGAAGGTGAAGGACGCGATGCCCCGGCGCCGCGCCGAGGTGAGTCGGAGCCCGGAGGAGGGAGGCGGGCCGGGGCGCCGAGGACCCCCTCTTTCTTTTTCCGAAGCGGGGGCGGGAAGACACGCGCCCGCTGCTCGCTTGGAGGAGGAGGAGCGTTCTCACGTGACGCTGTAAAGGAAAAGAAGAAAAGGTGTGGGGGGGCCCAGCCCGCCCACGGGGCGCCTTGCGGTGCCTCGGAAAAGCTTCGACAAAGGGTTTGGTGGCAGCGGCGCGCAGCAACTGGAGCCCCGTCTAGCTGCCTCTGTCGTGTTTGGCCGCTTCCAGGCGGCTGCCCTGATGCGCCCGTGCCAGGTGCGCCGGGGGAAACCAGAAAGGGAATCACCGGGTGAATCCAGGGTTTCTTTCCCGGAATCCAATAGGATGTAGCTGCGGGAATGGCTGGCAGCAGGAAAGGGTCATGTGGAGGAACTTGAGTTTTTGTGGCAGGGAGTTCCAAGGACCCTGGGATAGAAAAATGAAAGAAGCACAAATCCATCTTTAGTGGGGTTTAAAGGTAAAGGGACCCCGGACCATTAGGTCCAGTCGTGGCCGACTCTGGAGTTGCGGTGCTCATCTCGGATTATTGGTCAAGCGAGCCGGTGTACAGCTTCCGGGTCATGTGGCCGGCATGACTCAGCCGCTTCTGGCGAACCAGAGCAGTGCACGGAAACGCCGTTTAGCTTCCTGCCAGAGCGGTACCTATTTATCTACTTGCACTTTAATGTGCTTTCAAACTGCTAGGTTGGCAGGAGGTGGGACCGAGCAACGGGAGCTCACCCTGTCATGGGGATTCGAACCGCCGACCTTCTGATTGGCAAGTCCTATGCTCTGTGATTTAGACCACAGCACCACCCGCATCCCCTTAGTGCAGTTTCGGTGAGCTGAATTTTTTCCCTATCTAGCAACCAATATGTGCCCCTTTGGCACCTGAGGCAGACCCCAAAATGATACCCTCCTACCCGCCAGGTAAGAAGGAGTGAGGGAAAATCTACATCAGGAACAAGAGCGAAAGAAAGATCTGCATTGGGATCTGCTGCCTTTGTGGACCCTGCAAAGTGAGGGGGTCACCTCACCTTGCCTCATGGGGAGGCTGGCCCTGAATAAAGATCCACATTGGAATCTGCAGTCTCTGTGGATTTTGCTGCTTGAGGCAGCTACCTCAGCTTGCCTCATAGGTGGGCTGGCCATGCATAGTAAGCCACCTTCTGCCAGGTCAGCTGCTCAGTCAAAGAAGGGCCATTCCCATCCCTTCTTCTTGGGATTTTAACCGTAGTTTCCGGGGGTTGAACCTGGAATGTAAGCAGATGCTCTGGCCTCTTGAGTTCTGGCCTTGCATGTGAATGAACCACTGTAAAGGGAAAGGTAAAGGGACCCCTGACCATTAGGTCGAGTCGTGGCCGACTCTGGGGTTGTGGCGCTCATCTCGCTTTAATAGCCAAGGGAGCCAGCATACAGCTTCTGAGTCATGTGGCCAGCATGACTAAGCCGCTTCTGGCGAACCAGAGCAGCGCACGGAAACGCTGTTTACCTTCCCGCCGGATCGGTGCCTATTTATCTACTTGCAGTTTGACGTGCTTTCAAACTGCTAAGTTGGCAGGAGCAGGGAGCGAGGGATTTCTCACCCCGTCGCGGGGATTCGAACCGCCGACCTTCTGATCGGCAAGTCCTAGGCTCTGTGGTTTAACCCACAGCGCCACCCGCATCCCATACAGTAGATCAAAGCCATGATTAACGTATTAAACTGCAGCAGATGAGGGCCACATTCTCTTGGTGGCAGTGGGTGGAGCCAAAGCTGATGATGGGTGGAGCCAGCAGCAAAAGTGTTCTAGATTAGCTGGTACTGAACAAAAACTGCCTGCTTTCATCTTCACTATGTCCAGCTCAGGATTTTATTCAGGTCTATTTTAGTAGGAAGCCCTGTCTAGTCTAGTTTGATGGGGTTGCTCTGAGATATCCTGAGGATTTCTTTTTAGTACAGTAGACTAATATTGCTACTGTTTTGGAAAGCAAGTGAAAGCAATCCCTTTCTGACTTTATTATATTGTTATTTATTATAGTTCTATCCCACCAGTTCTCCAAGGAGCTCTAGTTGGTGTATGTGGTTCTCTTCCTCCTCATTTTTATTCTTTCTCAGACTTGGGTCTCCAGCTGTTGTTGGACTACAACTCCCATCAATCCCTAGCTAGTAGGACCAGCGGTCAGGGATGATGGGAGTTGTAGTCCAACAACAGCTGGAGATCCAAGTCTGAGAAACAACAACCTTATGAAGTAGGTCTGCCAGGTTATAGTGCAGCAGTCTAACCACTACGCCACACTGTTGGTGATCTATATATACACACAGAGTATGTGTGCAGAAGAAGCCTGCCAGTTTGTTCTCTGACAGCTGGGGGTAGGGGAAACTTTAAGAAGCTGGTAAAAATGAAGAGGAAATTAACAGGAAGGAAGGAACTCTGATGGAATATTGGGAGGCGCACAAAATGAGTCCCAGAGGCCTTTCACTGTGGAACTGATTCAAGCATGAGCCACTAGGCACTTGGTAACTGAGCGATGTATGCGAGTGAAATGGACCCTGGTTTCTGTAGGATGGTCTTAGGTGCAGAATGGACACACTGAGGCATTTAAAGCACATTCTTTCCCTCAAAAGATTCTGGGCACTGTCGTTTAGCCCTCACAGAATTCCCAGTTCCCAGCAATACTGAACAAACTGTGGTGTACATAATTCTTTGGGGGGGGTGGGGAGTGTGCTTCAGGTGGAGTGGATGATGCTGTCACATAGCCAGGAATTGTTGCTCTTTGGGGAGCAAACTACAGCCCCCAGGATTCCTTGGCATTATATCTGCTTTAAATTTATGGCATGGGTGTGATTTACAGTTCATTTCTTTATTTCAAAATCATTTATATACTGCCGTTCTTCTCTAAGGAGATCATTCTAGCATACACTGAAAACAGTAAAGCTTTATAAATGAACAGTAGGAAACACCAAAGCTAGCATAGTAGCTAAAATATTGAGGAGGGCTCAAAAGGGTTCTTTAAACAGAAAAGCCTTAACTTCCTCCCCCCCACAACCCCCTCAGCCCCACAAGTAGTACTGGCTGGGGCTGGTGGGAGTTGTGAAGTCTGTAATAGAACAACAACATTCTAGATTTAGACCACATTGACGCCATATATTGAAAGCACTTTAAACAGAAATGGCTCCCCCCAAAGAATCCTGGGAGCTGCACTTTGCTAAGAGTGCTGAGAGGAGACCCTTCACAGAGGTACAATCCCCAGAGCTCCCCGTGAAGAGGGATTGGCTCTTATATCATTCTAGAAATTGTAGCTCAGGGAGAGAAATATGGTCTCCTAACAACTCTGAGCGAGGGACGTGGGTGGCGCTGTGGGTTAAACCACAGAGCCTAGGACTTGCCGATCAGAAGGTCGGCGGTTCGAATCCCCGTGACTGGGTGAGCTCCCATTGTTCGGTCCCAGCTCCTGCCAACCTAGCAGTTCGAAAGCACATCAAAGTGCAAGTAGATAAATAGGTACCGATCCGGCGGGAAGGTAAACGGCATTTCCGTGTGCAGCTCTGGTTTGCCAGAAGCGGCTTAGTCATGCTGGCCACATGACCCGGAAGCTGTACACTGGCTCTCTCGGCCAATAAAGCGAGATGAGCGCCGCAACCCCAGAGTCGGCCACGACTGGACCTAATGGTTGGGGTCCCTTTACCTTTACTTTAACAACTCTGAGCACCTTTAAGAAACTACATCTCCTAGAATTCTTTGGGAAGAAGGCATGATGGTCTAAAGTGGCACCATAGTTGTGGATGTGGCCCCAGCTGACAAATTAAGCAGTTAACCAACTAAAAACTCATCCAACAAATCAAACTAGCTTTTTGTGAAATGAAAGGGCCACAGGCACCTGCACCTTTGTGGCAGAAGGTCCCTAATTCAGTCCCAGCATCTGCAGGTAGGGCTCCGTGCCAGAAACCTGGATTGCTGCTGCCACACCGACTGGGTACAGATGATGTGTTCAAGGTGCAAAGCACATCCTTTTCCTCGAAGAATTCTGGGCACTGTCGTTCGTTAATGGTTCCTGGGAACTGTAACTCCAAGAGCGGTAGACTACAATGCCCAGAACTAATTGAGGGAAAGAATGTCTTTTGAATTCATGGGCGTACCCAAGAGGGGGCGGGGGCAGCTTCCCCCCCAAAATCAGTCAATAAAAATACATAGCTAATTGAGGTTCTCCCCCCCCCCAACAAAAAACCTGGCTATGCCCATGCTTGAATATGCTTTAAAGGTGTGCTGTGCTGTTGTAAGAGAATCAGGGTCAGAGAGGGGAATAAAGGAAAATGACCTTACCAATATTAATTATATATAGTATGCCCAGTATCAGCAATACTGAGCAAGATGGACCAAGAATCAGATCCTGCTTAAGACAGCTTATTAACCCAGTACTTCCTGATTCCCAGTTAACCTTTTTAAAAAGGTTGTGCCATAAAGATGCCTTAGATGTATAATTGAAAATGCAAACTGCAAAGATCAGTTAGGGACAAACATATCTTTTGCAAATATCTGCCGATAGTGAATCATGGGTGGTCACATCTGCACCTTACAGTTAATGCACACAGCTTCCCCACAAGAGTCTTAGGAACTGTAGTTTGTTTAAGGGTACTGGGAACTATGAAATTGGGTGAACTATGGTTCCCAGGCTTTTTTGCAGGGAACCCTTGACTGTTAAAGTGGTAGAAGTGTGCTGTAAGTGTGTGGTGTGTGACTTTTGTATCCCTCTGCACAGTGTGTTTTCAAGATTACAAACCCAGCTTTGCCCAGTGTCATGTGTGAACTGGGTCTTACGTTTGCTGCGCTGCACATTGAAGAACAATTGAGAAGCAAAGTAAGAAAAAGTCGAGTGGCTGTCTTGTCTCTTTCCTTGTTTTGTATGGAGTTGCATAACTCCAGGTTTATTTCTGTTGTTCATTTTCTCCCTTGTGTTGCATACTGCTCACTTTATGGTTCTTTCCACTAAATTCATGATTCTTAACCCTGCCCTGAGGGGAAGTGTGAGGCAGTGATAGATCCAGTGCTGTTTCCCTTTTTGTTTATTCCTAAACTTGCTTTGCCCCCATCCGACTCCTTTCTTATTTATGCAGTGGAAACAAAGGAGGCTTCATGGGTTGCTAAGAGACGCTCTCCCAGGGTAACTGGCCACCAATTCTTGTATTAATGATAACTTCTGGGCCCACTTCAGCACCTCCTTTTAGGACAATGGGTAGCCCTTCAGAGCTCTGCTTGCCTCTTTGAAATCTTCTTGTCACCCTTGGCTTTTCTGGCAGGGTGAGAAGCCACATGACAGCTGTCAGGTGTGGGGTACCTGTAGGGCTCTTTTGGAATTTCATACCTGGGTCGGATAAGAGTGTCAGACTGAGGAAATCCAGGTTCAAATCCCCCCAGTTCACAGAATCAAAGACTTGTAGAATTGGAAGGGACCTTGAGGGTCATCTAGTCCAACCCCCTGCCATGCAGGAATCTCAGCTATAGCATGCATGACAGATGGCCATCCAACCTCAACTTTGGGGTTTCACATTGTGCTGTAGAGCAACTCACACTCCCTTTTTTCTCAGCCTGACCTGCCTCACAGGGCTGTTGTGATGATAAAGCCCCACGTTATGCCCAGAAAAGGGAGGGATACCATTGTGAATAAGTGAATCATTGGGTCATGTGTCTTCCTCATGTGCAGCCCATCGTTTTCTCTCATCCAAGGCTGCTGTTAATAATAATAATTATTTTATTATTTATACCCTGCCCATCTGGTTAGTTTTCCCCAGCTTCTCTGGGCAGCTTACAGCTTATATAAAACATAATAAAACATCAAACATTAAGTTGTGTTTGAGTGGTGTGTAAACCCTGTCCCGTAAGCAGTGTTGGGGAAAACAATTAATTCCTGGATGCCAAGATCCAAGTTTGGGGCAAGTGCTCTTTGGTGAAAGAACTCCAGCAGAGATTCAAAATCACAAAACACGCAGCAAATAAAGTGTGCGCATATAGGCCGTCTAACCTTAAATGTGCTCTTTAAAGTTCCTACCAAAGTTTCCCACTTCCCCCAGCATAGAAAGATACCACACATCTGGTAATTTAAGAATGTTTTACTTACAAACTCTCCAAAGGTCAGAGTCATGTGCTTTTCCATAGAGAATCATAGAATTGTAGAGTTGGAAGGGACCATGAGGGTCATCTAGTCCAACCCCCTGCAATGCATGAATCTTTTGCCCAATGTGGGGCTCAAACCCACAACCCTGAGATTAAGAGTCTCCTGTTCTACCAACTGAGCTATTTCACAGATAGTTGCACAGGCTGTAAAGTGTAGCTTGGTTACAAAATGGTTCAAGTTCCTAAACTATTGGTATAGGAGAACATTCATTTCACACTCTGTTCTTGTCTGGAAAAAAGAGGCTGGTTAAAGCCATGCAGCTGAGCTGGAGCAACCATCCCAGACCTCCTCACCCACTGAATGCTCAGGTAGACTGAATGAAGCCAAGACTTGATTGCCTATTTCCTCCCAAGGTGAGGGGAAGTGACATAGCTAAGTCGGGCAGGACAGCTTCCTCTATGGTTTTAACCCCTTCATGCATTAATTCGACTTAAGCATGTTGGTTATATGAGGCCAGTTATCCCACAAGCAGTACAGTAACACTCTTTAATAAATAATGAATAGTATTGTCTACTGAGACTGCTAGTGGCTCTTCAAGGGAGAGGTCCCCACCTCCCACCCTCTCATGCTTTATTGCCTGGAGATGCCAGTGATTGAACCTGCATGCAAAAAAAGTATGCGCTCCACCCCCGAGTTAAGGCCTGATTCCAGCTAAGGGCAGGTTTACAAGTACACAAGTGATGATTCACAACTGAATGTGTGAACAGACATCTGTTGAAAAGCCTTTGTATTTGGAGAGATACAAAAGTTCTGCTGGTGTTGTTTAATATGAGATAAGAGCAGAAGGAGAGCTCACCTGGATCCGGGCGAAGGCCAGTCTCGTTCAGCATCTTGTTTCCTGCAGTGGTCAAGCGGATGCTCTGCGAAGGCCACAAGGAGAGCCTGAAGGCGAGGGCACTCTTTTGGCAATGCCCCCCAGAAACTGATAGATTTAGAGAATACCAATTCTGATTCATCTAGCAGCCTTCTGCCAGCATTGCTTGGGGATTCTATGAAGCCAAAACAACAACAACACCCCCCACCCAGTGCAGTTTTGAAATCAGCAGTTAAAAGCAGTGCAGTTTTGAAAGGGTGAGTCTACCATCTTGATTCAAAATGGCATCCAGTTGTATCCAAACATAGACGAAAACCTGCTCCTTGGTCTCAGGAACCATTATGCAAAATTTGCTTAGGATACCTTAAGGTGTCCAGTTCACAGAGAACAAACAGCTTTCCAAAAATATATAGTCGATATCTTAGTAAAGCTCCAGGCACCTATGAATCTTAGTACAGTGGTACCTCGGGTTACAGATGCTTCAGGTTACAGACTCCTCTAACCCAGAAATAGTACCTCGGGTTAAGAACTTTGCTTCAGGATGAGAACAGAAATTGCATGGCGGCGGCACAGTGGCAGCGGGAGGCCCCATTAGCTAAAGTGGTATCTCAGGTTAAGAACAGTTTCAGGTTAAGAACGGACCTCCGGAACAAATTAAGTTCTTAACCCGAGGTACCACTGTACCTTTAAATTCTGAGTGTGAAACAAAGATTAAGAATCAGTTGTGTGTCTGGAGGGCCGAAGATCCAATGGGGTGAAAGCAAACAACAGCCTCAAGGACTGAAATTTTACCTTATTAGCATTCCTTGCAGTTGAAAAAGGTTGAAAGAGAGTCCTCTTAGCTTGTTAGTTTCTGCTAATTCTATTTAAGATTTCATAACTAACTTTTAAAATTAAATGGCCAGCTGATGCCAGCCTTAATGAATGTATATATGTGTATGTAAGAGTTTTATTTGGGAATAAAAATATTTTTGCAATTCTTTAGCACTTCCTCTAATGGTCCGTGGTTGCTTTTGTGGACGTTTTGAATGTCATCCAGCAACAGCTGTTCATTCATGACAACTTATTTTAAGTGGCAACTTGTTTTTCCCCTCCCCTCTACCTGTGTTTGACAATTAAGAACTGTGTTGTGAAACAGATCTCTTTAATGAAGAGGAAAAACCTGGAACGTGTGCCATGGCGCTGAGGCTGTATTTACAGGAAACATTGTGGGTTTATTACCCTAAGGTTAGGCATCACGTAGATGGCAATTTAAGTGCCCAGGGCGTGTTGAAACGAGGCTTTAAACAAATTAATCTGCATTATCATGGATGCCTTAAGATTTGTTCATAAGCAGTTTATTATCTTTCTGCTTTGGGCTGTGCTGCAATATGGGAGTTTTTCAATTCGTAGAGGTGGGTGATTTAATATTTGTACATTTTGTAGATACATGTGAATGATTAAATATTTGTATCTTGCAGTTCTGTTGATTTTTTTCCTACCACTTGAAGATGATGATAATAATAATAATAATAATAACCACATTTTTTAAGATTAACTCCCCTCTAACCACTAAGTAATACAGTACTATACTAGTGATACACCACCTAAAAACTAATCCTTTGCTGAAATATAGACTCCCATGGGTTTTTAAAATTTATGTTCCTTGCCTAGCCAGAATCTGTGAGTTATTTTTTAATTAATTTATGGATTGTATGAATTCATAATTTATGAAAATGTGTGTACAAACATGTAAAAACAGCTAAACTAGTGCAAAAAATTGTTGAAGAGACGTTTAAAAACAATACAAAATGAACAACTAAGGCAGAGATCTCTTCATCCAGCTGAAAAACGTTTTCAAAACAAAAATGCCTTCAGTTGTTCCTTGAAAGTATGCCTAGCGGGTGTCTGTCATATCTCAAAATGAACGATTTACTGGGAATAGATGACGTAAGGTGGTCTCTCAAGTCAACTGCTGTGTTGTTTAAGGTATGGGACTGATTTAGGTAACAGCCAGTATTTCTGTGTTCAGAAATCAGGGTGAAGAATTGCTGCTTTGTCCCAGAGTCTTAGAGGTCTGCAGCCAGAACTGTTTCACAGCCAACCTCTCTTACCAGGGAACTCCGGGAATTATAGCTCTGTAAGGGAAAGGGGGCCTCTTAATAACTCCCACCACCCTTAGCAAACTACAGATTCCAGGCTTCTTTGGGGAAAGCCATGACTCTTTAAAGTGGTATGATGGGGCCTAAAGTGATCTTCCTGCTACCTAATGTCCTTTCTTGGCTTCTTCTTTCCTCATCCCAAGTCAATTCCTGCTGTGTAGCATCCTGCCTGATGAAAAGATCTGGAGAACTTGAAAACTTGCCACTATCTTTTGACACTTTGGTTGGTCCCAGTGAAGGTATTGCCCCATTGCGGATTTTGAATTTGAAGAAAAGTCAGCTGGGGTTGGGCACAAATGTCAACTCCGGTTTCTCTCAGTTTCTTATTTTTTTCCCAAACGTAAGTTTTATTCTCCACATTTCTACATCGGTTTTTGATTGTTTAAAGTGTTTCTCATGAAAATTCATCAGCATTTTAATGGAAATTTCTCATAATACACACATTTTTAATGCAACTTTGCTTAATTGGCAAAGTTTTGTGTGCAATTTGCTCTGCCATAATGCCTTTTTGTATGCTTTTTTCGCTTATATGCATACTTTCCCATCATATCTGCATTTTTGTTTACATCATTTGGTTAGATAGGTACAGTCCAAAATTTAGAGAAGTTCAATTTTTGAAGCTGCGTTTTGGTTTGCATATTGTTTGAGGAAGTGAGATTTAGGTAGGTTTGCATTAATATGTGAGCTGAATTTCTCCCCTTTCCCTACACTTGTCTTCATAAGACCATAAAACACATTACAGTGGTACCTCAGGTTACATACGCTTCAGGTTACAGACTCCGCTAACCCAGAAATAGTGCTTCGGGTTAAGAATTTTGCTTCAGGATGAGAACAGAAATCGTTCTCTGGCGGCAGCAGGAGGCCCCATTAGCTAAAGTGGTGCTTCAGGTTAAGAACAGTTTCAGGTTCAGAACGGACCTCCGGAACGAATTAAGTACTTAACCTGAGGTACCACTGTAATTTGAAACTTCTGCTTACTTTCCTTTCCTGAAGCCTTCCGTTGAGTTAAATGAAAATACTAAGCATTATTACAGGCCTGAAAGCAGTCACTTCTGGCTGCCTGTGATGAGTTTGAATTGTAGTCAGGTGACCAGGCCACAAAACCTGGCGAAACTTTCTTTAGAGACCACTGTATAAGCAAAATAAAAATAGCACCATGTATTTCAGCTGCTCAGTTAAGATCATCCCAGGCAAAATCAGCTCAGGAATGCTGTGCTTCATGTTATAAAACTTCAGTTTTCTAGTTGGCGTGATAATACTGTGATAAATTCTTACCAGCCAAGCACCCCATTTTAAGCGGGACAGCCCCACTTTCTCATCCCAGAGCGCCCTGATTTCGTGTGGCAGGTGGGCAAGGGTGCGAGGGAAGTGGGAGGATGGGCAGAGAGCGGAGATCAGGCGGGTGGGATGGTGCAATGTGTGCCCCCCACTTTGCATGCCCTCAACATTTCGGGAGGGAAAATTCCAGAGCCCCATTACTCAGAACGGAGCAATAGACTTCTTATCAGATCTTCATGTAACAGTCTTTGCTTTTTAAATATTACTTAAAGTTGAGGGGTCCTAATCCCTCCTTCCCCCTTACCTTCAAGGTGGAGCTGCACACACACCTGTGTACAGCAACAACTTTTTTTTGGTGTCACACGAATTTCAGATTCATTTTGGGTTTTTCTTTCATGGTGTGTTTTCATGTGTTCACTGAAGCTGTGCATCTAACAGCCGAAACGTTTGCTGTGATTTTTTGGCCATCTGGTATGTGGGAGTTCTTAGTCGTTTTCCTAATTTTAGGCCGTTGGCAACTGCCTGAAAAGTTGGGGCAATTTAGTATTCAACCATGGAGAAGTTCTTTAAAAAAAGAGAGGAAAAGAAAGTTGGGCTTGAAAGTCTCATAGGGAGTGGACAGGTTAGGAAATGGTGCTTTAGCCATCTTGTGACTGGTGAAGCCATCAAAATGATGGGACATTTGTACGTCTAATTGATTGAACAATTTCTCCCTTGCTTCAAATTTTTCTAACACCACTTTTCACGTGCTGGTTTGCCTTCGTCATTTAAATTTAAGTCATTTCGTTTGCAGTAAGCCCTGTTGAGCATTATGGGAGTTACTTCTGAGTAAAGATTCACAGGGATCGTTCTGTTAGTCTGTGTAAAATCTCATCTTCACCTGACGAATGAAGCAGCATCTCCATCGTACAGCTTTCGTTGTTTGGTGAAAACACACCTCTTACTTTTAGGATTCACTCCGATCCTCTGATTGTACATTGTTTAAAACAATTTTAATATTATATTGTTCTAACCTGCCCTGGGAACTTACAGTGAAGGGTGGGTAAGAAATCTAATAAATACATTATAAGTTACTGCATTCTGAGGTTTTTTCTTCATAACCTGTTCCTTTCTCTAGTCTGATGAAGCGTCAGTTAATTCAAAAATCTGCTGACTTATTCGTGAATATTTTATCTAGTTCTAATAAATGTATTAACTTGCTGTTACTTTTGGATATGATTTTTTTCTTATGGGTTAACCTCCCGTTTTCTGTGCACAGAGGTGGTGAAAATGAGCAGGTATAGACAGGCAAACAACTCTGACATGAAGTTTAGCAGTGCTATAAAAAAAATAAATAGGAGTCTAAATCCTCTCCGCCCTCCCCCACATTTTGAAACCTAATTTGTTGAAAGTTTGAGGATCAAAATTTTCCCCCTCTCAGAAGCCACCAGGAGCACCCACAATTTATACTGTATAGAAAGAATTTAAGATATGTTTTCTTCAACAAACTTTCACAACTGGAGAGAAAGAAAGATTTTTGCTTTGTTTTTCTTTTATGCTTGTAAATTACCTTGAGACTTAATATGAAAGAAGATTAACGAATTAATAAATTAAATAATAATAATGTGCACAACGGCATCACAATATCATTTCCAAGGGCTTTTTTTGCAGGGGGCGGGGGATATTGCACCCACCAAGGAGAACTCCACAGAGAGCAGCCCTTTTTTCCTGCAGGCAGTGCTGACAGGGGCTGAGACCCTGGACAGCTGCTGCCAGGCAGTGCAGACAATACTAAGCCAGATGGTTTGACTTGGTATAATGCAGACTCTCTGTGTTCCTATTTTGTATTTTATGTTTTGTCTCTCATGCTGGCCTGGAGGAACACAATTTTCTCCAGCAAAGGGTATTGCCAAGTACCTCTCATGGTCCCTCTCTGTGTACCGATCAAGCCCTTAGAGGAGGCTGTGTGTGCTTTTCTCCTCCTTGTAAACTGGTTGCAATATCTGTATCTGCAAGTGACCTCTTTTCTGGGCTGCGTTATGGTGCATACCCGCTGTTCTGTTCCTCGCTCCAGCAGGGCGTCGCATTGTTTGCTCTCCAGTTTCCAGTAATTATTTTGTACAAGAAACAATACCACAAAATAGTTCTTCAGAAGCCACAGCTTCGTTTATAACCATCCTTTTTATAGAGAGCTGACGGTGGGAGGGAGAAATTCAGTTTGCTTCCCTTGCTGGGAAACCTTTAAACTTTTAGTATTAGGAACATTCCTGTGCCTTATTGAAATGGCTTTTGCTAACATCATGTTCCTTTAAAACTGCCCAACCTGTCCCCATTTACTACATCTGGCTTACCCAATTGAGGAGACTGCTTAAATACAGTTATTGCAATGGAGAATGTTGTTGAGTTACATTAAGTGTAGGGAATGTCGGCTATCTCTGTGTGTAGCTTGATGTGCTAATGAACTCTACTGATGTGTCTCTGGCTGTTTCAATGTTTAGCATTCATCCTGATCTGTTTGCAGGGAGGTTAGATGATATGTCAAAGCAAGAGTTACTCTACACTTTTTAGTACATTTTCTTGATTGCAAAAAGCCTGTGATTTGGGGGGAGTGGATATATTCCACAACTCCCAGTCAACAGCCTTTGAAATTAGCCAGGTGCCAGGCGCGTTTTGCGACTGGCTTGGGTCCAATTGTGTCCATGTGGAGATCTCTGGATGCCAGGTTGACAGCTGACATCTCCATCTGGCTGGCCCCTCCAGCTTTCTTAAGCAGGTAAGCAGAAGAGCTTATTTAATTGCATTTATATCCCACCTTCAAGGAGTACCTGGTTCACCCCGCCTTCTCAGTTAATCTCTGTGAGGTAGGTTAAGAGACTGTGACTGGCCCAAGGTCACCCACTGAGCTTCATGACTGAGTGGGGATTTGAACCCTGATCTCCCAGGTCCTAGTCGTCTGACACTCTAATCACTACACCACACTGGCTTCCTAGAGTACTTCTGCTATGGGGCAACTATATAAATTAAGTAGATAAATAAATGAGGAAAAAAACAAAATGTCACTTAGAGAAGGATCTGAAATATTTTGCTTGAAACTTGAATTTGTTTTACTCTGGATTGTTTTATTTTATGTTTTAATGTGGTGTAAATGACTTTGAGATTTTATCTTTAAAATATAAAGTAGTATAGAAATGAAACAAATACAAATAGATCCCATTGCGGGGGAAAGGCGCCCAGGCATTCTGCTGTGGTGACACTAACCCAGGTTTAAGGTGCCATTTGGCAATTAGCTTATATATCTGAGTTTCTAACACTGCCAGTCAACTATAATTGCACAACCTGAATTTTCCAGTGTGTGGTGGAATCAAACCCCCAAGGAGCAACAGTCGTCTTGTATTTCTAATTGTCCTGAATGGTGGTTGGGTGTTTTGTACAGGGCACATCCACCTGCTTGGCTCTGAGCTGGAGAAGAACCACTTGCTGGTAAGAATGGACCCAGCAGAAGATTCAGAAGTTGAGTTTTGTGGCTGGTTGGCCTTTTGGAGGTTGCTGGGTTGCTCATGCATGCTGTTTGCTTTTGTGAGAACTGATGGTACTATAAAGACAAGCATTACCTGTTCGGATGTTTGCTTGCCTTACTCCTCTGTGCACCATTCTGCATATTTATTTTTAAAGTTGACCAGCATGGCAAGCCTCCATTCTTGCAAGTGAATGGACCCTGTAAAAGACTGCCTTTGGAACATCCCACCACTTGAGGAAACGCAGAGTCCTGAGACAATATGCTTCAGATTGCTACAGTCTGGATCTGGTGACTCCAGGCTGCACAGAGCGGGGGCATCAAATCGAGCAACATGGTGCGTAGTAGTTTTGTAGTTTTGAACTCATGTTATGTTTGGACAGCTGTGCTCAGAAATGGTTGTGACGTTGCCGGAAGAATTCATGTCAACAGACAGTAGACCTCCAGGGTGCATCCTGTGGCCGGCCCTGGAGGCAACCTGGGAGAAAAAGCGGGTTATCTGCCTCCCCAGGAAGCTGCTGCTGCTGCTGCGCTCATTGTAGGAAGCCAGCCCTGTGCATGCAGACTGTGTGACTTGCATGTGCCAAAGAAACATGCTGGATTGTCGTGAGTAAGAGCCCAAGAAATGTTTTCCTTGAACTTGCAAGTACAGGAGATGCATTCACGCAGATTCTTTCTCAACTCAGTTTAGTAATTCTGGGAGAAATTCACAGCAGTCAACCTCTACGGACACTGATTCAGTGCTACTTCTGAAGATGGAGGTTCCATTTATCATTCACAATCAATGGCAGATAATAGCCAAATTCTCCACTAATTGGCCAGTCACCACATCTTGTAGCAGTGAGTTTCAACAGTTAACCGATAAGTGCTTCCTTCTGACTGCTGTTTATCTCATAGACAAGAGAAGTAGAAAAACATCTTTCTGTCCTGGTGGTTTCCAAACTTTCCCCCCAAGGGGCCACTTGAAAATTACTGAGGGTCATGTTGGACCAGATACTGATTTTTCTGCCTTTTGTAGCAATTGTCACGTGCTGTGCTAGATGCTGTATCATTTTTAATTGGTTTTCTTTGCTTCCTTTATTTCTTATATTGCGTTTTATTGTATTACAATTTGAATTTCACAGAATTGTAATACAGTAAAAAAGAAAAAAGAAAAAAAGGAACAGAAAATACAATTAGAAATCAGTATAAGTATTTAATGCAGGCACAGTTTGGGTTCTTTGCTCTATCTATCTTCTTTGAAACCATGCAAAATCTATACCATCTACATTTGTGCCATCTTTATTTTTAAAAAGCTTAAGCTTCCACAAATGAATGAAGGCCTGTGCGTTCCACGAAGAACCTCCAATATCTTGATCCTCTTTGGCTGCAGCCCTCTTCTAGTCTAAACTGTTTTGTTGGTTGTTGGTGCATTTGGCGAGGACGACATCTGAGTAATTGGAATTCCATTTGGAAGTGGGGGTTCCATTTGGCAGGCAATGGAGCAGCCAATATAATTTGTGATTGCCACTGTGTGCTGTCCCTGGCCCCCCCAACCTCATTTTGTCCTCCCAGCCAGGTTGCAGCATTGCATCCTTTGCTGATCTGTGCCCCCACCCCTCGCTGGCCTTCCTTTCCCGGGAGGCTAATTTGGGAAGCACTGGAGAGGAGGGTATTCAAGTCATTAGGAGACCATTTAAACCCCAGGATGTGTCACAAGGTCCTTTAATTCCATTATGGGCCTTAACAAAGGGTAACGGGAGGACTTGGCTTTGTATTGTGCATTAAGGCTGTGCCAAGATCACAGGTCAGCTTACAGCCATGCGCCTTTTAAAATGTTTAGTCATCATTGGAAAATCTGGTTTCGGGCTTCAGGCCTGCTGGTGAGTCACACGCTTGTTGGATGATTTACGTCTACGCTCATGAGCAGCGCTGCTTTCTTAGAGCAGCCGGCAGTGTTGCTGTTGCATCTGTCTTAATCTTCCCGGGACAAAACAGCCGCCCCCCCCAATGTAATTACTTCCCATTTGGGCTCTGCAGCAATTCCAACATTATGGGGTGAAGAAACAGTTGCATGGGCAGTAAGAAATGCATTG